TCCCTACACACACACCCTGCCAGCTCCTGTCTGATGCCATCTGTGTGCTGCTCTCCAGGGAAGAAGAGATAAGAAGACTGGGGCTGGGAGATAAGAAAAGGGCTGGACTCCTTTCTGCTCCTCTTCAGGTGCCAGGAGCCTTCTGTTGTTCACATGCAGGTATGGAACTGTAAGGTCTTTATTGTGGCATCTCCTGCTTTGTAAGTGTCTTTATTAAACTCATTCTGCTCTGTGGTTTTGCTCTGAAAACCCTTAAGTCTTTAAGCAACTGCAAATGTCACCTTTCATGCCAGTGTTTGGACAAAGGATCTTTTCTTGCCTCTGTCTCTGCTAATAACACACTAAACAAATCTTTGCACAAAGCTCTCAATTCATATTCATCTCTTTTCTCATTAAACAGGAAATCTTCCATTTTAGCCCTCAATTGCCAGCTTACCTTCCCTAATTTTCTTTTCTAAATCTGGCTTTGCTTCATCTTCCCCCCTCCCCCTTCCCCATCCCCCTGACCTGGCTTTCAAGGGCTGAGAGCATCACAGGGGCTTCAGGAGGAGGATGAAATCTGGGATGGCATGAGCATCCTGGCAGGGATGCTGAGGACCAAGTGAGCATCCTCTTGCCCCATTTTCAGGAAGGCAGGACAAGCTGAATTTTGCTCACAGAAGTTCTTGGTGATGCTGCTTTTATAATTCTGGGCTTGCTTTTTTGTTCGTTGGTTTCTGGTTGGTTGGTTGGTTGGTTTCCAGCCCCTGGGACTAAGTTTTTGGTTCCGTGTGGGGTTTAGCATTTGGCCAAGCAGCTGTAGCTTCCAGGCAGTGAAGGAGACAACACCCTCTGCCTTATCTTAGGAGAAAAAGCTGGTGATGGAGACTTAAGAGGGTCCCATTTCAGAACCTGGTGGGCAGGAGCACAATTGTGCCTTCGTGATGCAGGACTGTGCCCTTGGCTGTTGGATATAAGAGCTTCAGAGCCTGGTGAGCTACATCCCATTCCTGTCCCAAAACCCTGCAGTTATTCTTTCCCTCTTCCTTTAAATCCCGAAATGTTTATGCATGGTTTTAAGTTTTAAAAAGTGGAAAGGGGAACCATGAATTTGTATTTATGGGGTGGCTTGAGATGATGACTTTGCAGGGAGAATGATGATGCTTGAGATGATGACTTTGCACTCCCTCCCTGGCAGTGTTGAAGGGCAGGTTGGATGGGGCTTGGAGCAACCTGGGCTGGTGGGAGGTGTCCCTGCCCATGCAGGGGGTTGGGACTAGATGACATTTCAGGTCCCTTCCAACCCAAACCATTCCCTGATTCTATGATTTACTTCTCTCCCAGCAATTCCTGACCCTAAAATGAATATATCCCTGTTTATCTGTTTCAGGGGGATGCTGCTGAGCACAATTCCTGAGCATCAGTGAAAGGTTCAGAAGATCACTGGGTTTTTTGCTACTCTTCCCTGACTCTGCCTTACCATCCCAGCTTTTATCCCAAAAGGAAATGAAACTTACCCAGGGGTTTATACCCGCAGCACCTGAACTTCTGACACAATTTGTGTGTGGATGTACCCAAAAATTACAGCCAGATCCTTCCAGCCTTTTTGGAAATGATGGAATGACTTATTTAAAGCAACCAGCCCCTTGCTTTGTGCTGTGGAATGATATATTTACAGTTAAGAGCATTTAAAACTTTGGGGCCAAGTTCTGCAGTTCTCTGCTGCCCAGAGCTGCCTTTGACTCCAGCTAGGGCTTTGTACAAGCAAAAAAATGGCATAATTGAGCCCTTAATCAGCATTTCTTTTACTGTTGGGGCCTGAATGCTCTTGTAAAGAGGCTCCACATACAATTGAAGCTGTACTTATGGCTAAATGGGGTAGAAATGATGAATATAGATGAAATACTCAATGTACAGTTTTTCTTGCCTTGCATAGGAAATACACGGTATTTAGGGCAACTTTTTCATCCTTTCATCTTTTCTGGCACAAATTCTACCTGTTCATCAGTGTGATTAGAAAATATGTGTGGCAGGAGTGATTGTGTGTGTGTGTGTGTGACTCAGGGATGCTGAAGGTTGTCTGAGAGCTGCTTGGTTGGGTCCTGGGTGCTTTGGGTGCAGAGAGAAGGATGGGGAGAGAGGGTGGCAGCCAAGGAGATGGAAGGCAAGAAGAGGAGGGGATGGGGACAGAAAGAGGCAGTGATGCTGGAAGGTTCATTTATTTATAGGCTTCACTTTGTTTTGGGAAGTGTCTTTGAGGATATGTGTATCTCGACACCAAAGATGAGTAGTGAAAGGCCAGTTGGCCAAGTGAGGTTGAGGCTTTTGGGGTTGTTGGGTGTGAAGGACACAAATTGCAAACAGAGCTTTGGGTGGGGTGGTTTGGGGGGTCACTGGGGACATGATCACTCAGTGGTTTTAGTGTGTACCCGTGATGTGTGGTGGTACCTTGGGGATGAAGCTGATCTCCCAGCCATCAAAGGGGAAGGAGAAGGGTTCCCATTCCACCTCCACTGTCGTCTCTGTGATGGTCTTGAACTTCAGCCCCTGTGGTGTGGCAAGGTCTGGAAGGGAGATGCAGACAGGTTAGGGAAAGGCCAGTTGGCCAAGTGAGGTTGAGGCTTTTGGGGTTGTTGGGTGTGAAGGACACAAATTGCAAACAGAGCGTTGGGTGGGGTGGTTTGGGGGGTCACTGGGGACATGATCACTCAGTGGTTTTAGTGTGTACCCGTGATGTGTGGTGGTACCTTGGGGATGAAGCTGATCTCCCAGCCATCAAAGGGGAAGGAGAAGGGTTCCCATTCCACCTCCACTGTCGTCTCTGTGATGGTCTTGAACTTCAGCCCCTGTGGTGTGGCAAGGTCTGGAAGGGAGATGCAGACAGGTTGGAGGAAGCAGAGGGAAATGCCTGGACTGCTGGACGTGGAAGCATCCAGCTGCATTACCAGTGCAAATGGAGTGAGTAAGGGGGTTGCAAAAGGGGTGTCTGGATAGCTTCTATTTCCCCCCTGCTCTCTGTATCTTTAGGACCTCTTCTGGAGGTGACCATTACAGCTGTGCCATGGGGATTCCTCACAAGGAACCCATCTGGGAATGGGAGGAGAGCCTGTGACTTCTGTGATAGATCACAGCAATATTTTCTATGAGGAAATAAAAAAGAAAGTAAGATATTTAGGGCCATATTGACAATGTGCTGGGTTGATGGTTGGACGTGGTTGTCTTCAAGGTCTTTTCCAACTAGAACAACTCCATGTTTCTGTGATAATCTGGGGGCTTCAATCAGACAGTGGAAGTTTATTTGGTTTTCAGTCATTCAGGTTTTAATCCAGGCTGAGCCTGGACACATTTTCTCCTTTTCCATATCCCCGTATGTATAAAAATGGGGATAAATGGGGATAAAAACACCCCTTTTGTTTGTTTGGTTGTTTTTTTTAAAGCTCAGTTTTCTGCTGCTTGAGGTTTTTTTATGGAAAACGCGTGGCAACTTGAGCACCACCTCTGGTTATCTGGGTACCAAGCAACAAGCACAGGAGGATACTTACTGGTCATCACTTTGGAGGTAACAGGGATGCTCAAGACGTCGCCGATGACCGCGTAGACGCTGACGTTGTAGGCAACCCCTGGCTCCAGCTCTGTGATGGTGATGCTGCTCCAGTCCCCGGGTACCCTCTGCTGGAGCTGGGTGCCCCCAGGCCCCAGAGGCTGGTAGGAGACCACGTACTCTGTGGCTGCCCCGGGGCTGTCCCACGTCAGCTCGATGGAGCTGTCGCCGATCGCCGCCGCTCTCAGGTTCTCCGGAGGATCCACTGGTGGGGAGGGCAGAGGTTAGGAGGGAGTCAGGGGGTGTGTGGCTTGTCCCCTCACCCTGCTGGGGGGGAAAGGGGTGGGGGTCTGTGGGTGGGACTCTTAAAAAAAAATAAAATAATCAAACAAAATGCCCAAGGCTCAACCAAAAGTTCCGTTTTCTGAAGATAGAGGAATGGGGAAGAAATCACATTAACTTGATAAGCATGAACACTTATTAAAGCTATAGACACCTCAGGTCAATTGAAAACAGTATCCAAAGTTCTAAAAAAGTGAACACAAGACATTTGTTTTCATTGTTCCAAATGATTCAGAACAGGTCTAAGTTTTGTGAGAGCAACACCCGTCAGCTGTTTGCAGCTGTTTCTGGTCCAAGTGAATGTTCCCAGGTGATGGTTTCATTTTGGCCCACGGGGAGTCCAGCAGTTCGGACAGTCTGTTGAGAAGATGGAGATGACGGCAAGGGGCAGGGGCTTTGGGGGAAGCGTGCGCAGGGGCTTACGTGTCGCTGGGAAGTGGCACAGCAGCTGCTGCAGCACCGAGGGGCTGGCACCAGGGTCGGGGCAAACCCAGCGGGCTTTCCACTGCTCTCCCAACCTGTCACCCATGGCACTCTGGGCCTCTGGGCCACGGGTTTCTCCCAGGCTTCCTGCTGCTCCTCCAGTACACCTTGAAGCCCTCACTGTGCATACACAACCCCCATTACCTGCCGAGCAGTCCATCCCTCCGTAGCCCTCCTGGCAGACGCAGAGCCCATCCCGACAGCTCCCGCGGCCTCCGCAGCCGTCGGGGCAGTGTGGCTGGGGACAGTCCTCCCCGGTGGTGCCCCCCTGGCCGG